GGRAAAAAACGGTTTATTATAACCATGGAACAAACGACCCTTGCGTCGTTAACTTAATAAATCAAAATTAATATGTAGCCGTAAYCTAGATTTCATGTATTCATAGAAACGAATGAACCATTGAGTTCCACTCCATCAAACAACCTRCAAAGTGATCAAATGCAAGTAATAGATATACACAGCGAAAAGGAAGATTCCTCCTCAAATACAAATCTCAATGAAACAATGGAGAATGACACTGGAGGTACCACATCTGACAACTCAGCGAACCACTGCATCAAACAGTCACATTTACCTATCTCCGGAACAGATGAAGATAAAACGGTAGTATAAGTACTCTAAGGTTTGGATAAAAAAATATATAGAGAAATTATGGTAAAATTAATAAAATATATCTGAATGGGACTCGTTCTGAAAAAACACCGGCCAGGAGCAGCGTTCTCATGAAAGAAACTTCAATTCAATAGCCTTGAATGTATCCATTTGGTTTTTACCTTGGATAAGCTACTCATGTTTTTGACCCTTCTCCGCAATGGTCGCTATATATATATGGTAATCTTCAATTTGACGCAGAAGGGGCGAAATACTTAATATATGTTTCACGTAGAGGGCATTAAAGCACGACATGCGAAAAAAATGGGCTTTTGTCCACTTCTTATGAATGCACTAAAAAAAAAATAAAAATAAAAATGAATCAAGAAAACAAGCAACACCGAATAAGCTGGTTATAACACACAATGAATTTATTTCACTTACAGAATGAACAAGAGTCAACAATTGATAGCGGCATTACGTATACCATGAATGCACAATCCTGTGAAGCCCACTTAGTCAGCGAAAMGCAAGATGCTGTTACAGAAGAGACCACGGTACTTAAGAGTTGCCTTAGTAAAAGACCTAGAGCTGAAGGTCCTCCTAAAAAGAGAGTTCGCTTCAACATATCCGATAAACAATCATCCATAGCTCTGCCTGAGAAAACTGAAGAAACTGCGCCTGTTGTTGTGCAGCTGGAAATGATCAGTGAAGAAGACGGCGAGACTGATGATTCCTTGACTCTAAATGACTGSCAAGAGCTTTTTTCAGACGAAGATGATGAAATCACCGTTGTGAAATTCAATGAAATTGGAAAACAAATCAGCCAAGTGCAGCACTTCCTTGACAGCGMACGACTGAAAACGATCAAGAGACGTAAAATCCATTCGTAAAAATATTGAAATGYATGAATATTTGTATTCAATTTCAATTAGACTTGTCAATATAAAMGTTTTCCTACGTTGTGCATGTTATTCTGATAAACGAATCAATTAAAAATGACACTCACCCTATTAGGACATTGTTCAAGTGCGCAAAACACAAGGTCTACGTTGGCTGGGATGGAGATCATGAATCAGAAGCACATACAAAAAAAATGGGAGTGATCACTCAATGTTTGGGGAGATCATGGATCAAATTCAAAATAACATTTATTAGGATCAGAGAAGAAAATTCTTGCCTCAAAAAMCTGATCACGATTCCTTTTCTTGACAACAGAAATGCAAAAACAAAAAGTCACTTCCATGTGGCTTTGATGGAAAAAAAGAAAAAAATCCTACTGGATATTAATGTTGCCAAGAAAACCAGACTTTATGTAAAGCCATGACAAACCCGTGTTTTGCATTTTTGCTAAATATGAGGAAGGCTTGAACTGTTTAAATAAAAAGCTTAAAGATTTTAAGAACACAAATTTGGATTTCTGTTAGTTTAAAGGTTATGATAGAAGTATATGAATCGGCAATTAGTACCAGTACTAAAAGCCCTTGCTTCTGATAATTTTTACTGAATTATGCTAATTCCTTTGTTCTTTGTTTTCTATTGTCTAATTAATACTAATTAGTACTAATGAATACTATTTGTTTTCATGGATAAGACTAATCCAGCAGAGCGCTATACTAGCATAAATACCGCTAATGGTGCTGTATTAGAGTTGCAAATTGCAGCTTAATTTGAGTTTTCAGTCACAGAGCTGTTTGATTGTACTAACATAGTCATTGTACTATACATTCTGCTCGTAAAACCATTTTGTATGAATAGCGTCAAACGATGTGTCAGCTGATTTGTACATGTATTTGAGTGTCTTTCTTTGTTTCTCCATCAGTTTTAGTGAATGAGTAAAGCAGCCCACTGGTTAAACCAACTAATATGCTGGAATCAAATTAAACAATAAATCGATAAACATTTCATATAGTGAACTGGAGGGACAAAAGCTACACTAATAAACATTGAAAAGTTGAAATAACTAAAACATTTTACTCTATTATGGAATCCATGGACCCAATTTACGAGGGGGGAATAATACTATTCATCAATAAATGGTCTAAAGTCTAAAAACAACAACAACAACAACGGCATCAACAACAAAAATAGCCGATAACTTAACTCCCGTGAAAGTGCATAACTTTCGTAACCCTCTTATACTGTTCTCAAGTGCAAATGGAGCATTTTCCTCAGGAAGAGGAACAGTTTACCMGAGAAGATGTTCACCCTGCAAAAATGTCTGAGAACTAGGGGCTTCTCATCTCTTCCAACGTTAGCTGGTTCGGCCGCTGGAATTKCTTACCTAATTGCCATTGAAATCGTTAAATCAGCTTCAAATATAAAAAGGGATACACCACACACCAAAATCTGCAGAAAATAATAGTAACAAATTCATTTGATTAGTTTCTTAGAAGCCAAAGCAAAATCCCAAGGAAATATTCTGCACAGGGACTTTCTTGTTCACGTCTTAAATTATACAACAAGATTTAGCTGTGGGAGAGGAGCTTGTCAAATAGTCAGCGATCCTAATAAAACATTATTACCTTATTTACAGAATTTATGGCTGGTAACATTGGTTTGTAGTCCAGATTCATCAACACTGTTCTTTGTATTCCAAGAATCGAGCCAAAAATACCACTGATGAATAAAAATTGTACGTTTGTCCATAGTTAATAACAATAATTAACTAATGTGAATAATTTCAGGGAAAACCTCACACAGGTGGGTGCCTTATTTTATAGTTAGCCTAAGGATACTCTACCTGGCCAAGCAACCAATGTGAAATGATCTAGTATACAAGAAAGGGAATTCTAATACTCTGTACAGCTCTCCTGATAAGAAATCAAAATTATTTATCAATTTGATATACTTATAAGGAACACTATTTATTGATAACGGAATGGCAGATGTTTTATTACATTTGTAATTGAGATATAACATATCAGATTTACAAAACTGATGTTTTTTTTGTATCATTACTGCATAGACATTTATGATTTGTTAATCATTGTTTCGTGTGTTGGACTCCTAATCTTATTGGCTCTTTTGGCGGGCAGGCAAGTAATATGCTCTGAGCCATATTTATAGTCCTGGTGTAAAGGAGAACAAGTTTGGTCTTGATTGAAAGCATCTACAATAATGCTTTTGTTTTCCATCCGAAGCAAGTGACTGTCGCTTATTTTACAGACTCTGTTGCGGAAAGACCTTTTAAAACATGAACAAACAAACAAAAAAAAAGCAAGAAAAAACGTTGCCATTTCAATAAGCCAACAGAATTGAATTTTCTCTAGTTTGAGGATAAGCCTTTTGGGAAGACACAACCTCAGCCTCAAAAAGTGAGAAAATTCGTTCGCCTATTGCAATATCAAGTCGGAGGAGAGCCTGAAGACATCTGAAGCTTTACGTCACCTGGATTGTGGGATGAGGTTCTTACAAAAAAAGAAATCCGACATGATTTATCCAAAACATACCTACAATGTGCATAACATATATGGCATATATAATGTAAAGGCTTCAGAAGTTTATTGAAGAAGCTGCCACTCGCTTTGAATGGGAAACCAGCATATTCAAAAGAATGAACCCGCTCATACCTGTGATAACGCTTATTGCCATCAATATAACAATACTGAAAAAGAAGCAGATATACCTATTTCAAAATGAACATAATGTTGTCGCATAAAATGGCGACTAATCGGCAGTTGCACGACCGAAAGTAGCCTGAAAAATAACAGCCGATTTATACTGTAAGGTAGTCTGTCTTGCCATCCCACATTGAATACGCATAAAGTAAAATAGAAACGCTGTTGGCTGTTCACTGCAATCAGTTGACATCATGATCAGTTTTCAAACCTGAGACCTTTGCTAGGGTCATGAACCTTTATATCTGATAAAGGTCACCCTTATTATTATTCTTTATATAAACAGATAAAAAGGTCCATGCATGTGACCAAATAGGCTCATTCTAATGAGCTAATAACTCATTAATTATGTATGAGTTTTTGAAAGAGATTTTTCGCTTGTTTTTTCCCCAACCTTTTTTCACTTAACAATGAATGCGCTTCATAACTAGAACTATTGGTTTTCGCTTACCTGAATGACGTATTGTAGAAAATCTTATTCAGTTCACTGCAAAAGGAAGTTCATAGGCATCATTAAATCGCATATTTAGCAACTGTGAGAATATTTTCTTTTGTAAAACAACTAAATAAAAAAGGAATATTGGATCACCAAGCGGCATCATCGAACATTGTTGAGCAATCCGGCATTTCGCAGGTTGTTCCGTACCTTGTTTGATGGCGTTGGATAAAGCTTATTATATTATTAAGGCGCCGAATTAGACCGCAAAACTTTTGTCTACAACCATCTCAGGCAATATATCAWCCTTGCAACAAGGCTACAACTGTCGTAGGGCATGCAACTACCGCATGTGGCCAGTCTAAGTTCTTCTTTTTAAGATTTGGACGGAGTTTGAGGCTGTTTGGCCAACCATAAAATTGTTTAAAACCGGTGTTCGTCGTGATCAAAAATATTTCTCATTGGACCGAAGCTTGAGTATAAGTGTGGAATTAATCTCGCTATTCATTTTAAATCTCAGTATTCGACTCGTAAACTAAAACGAAACATCGCTTAAATCTATGGCTATCAGACGATGAATTCAACTTAAAAGAGCAAACCCTGATGATGACATCATAAGGACCTTCTACGTCGTTTTATACAACCATCTCTCTAACGCTTGCAGGTTTAGTTTTAGATAGAAATCCACGACCTGGCCTCATTTTTAAATCATGAACCACGTAYATTTCCCATCATCTCACCTTAATTTCTGCTTTGTAGTGTTCTCTGAATAAATGTATAGAGCTAAAGAAAATATACAAAATATAACTAACGTAACGGCACTTTACTCATGATGCGATATGGCTGTATCACATGAGAATTTCAAGCTTCCATTTCCCTTTTGTTRTGTTGGGTCCCCGTTCCTATATCACATGTAAACCTGGGTCAATTATTTTAGTTTACCTTTGCAGAGAGAATGGAGCATCATCCACTTATAACCCATGTACTCAGCCTATCATAAAACAATATTTACATGTCAATAATATAATCACTAACGGCGCAGAAACAAATCAACTAAACTTTACCTTGGGATCAGATCTTGATATTAATATACTTGAYAGACATGTAAAGCCTAGACTAAAAGACCAAAAACATTGATATTGCTAAACGTATAAGTCAAATTGCAAGAAGGTGGAAACTAGCGGTAAACTTGTGTGAGTTTCGTTGGTGTTTTTACATGTAAAGGAACAGTTGTGTAAAAAGATAAATTTAACACCGTAAAAAAAGTAGGTAAAACAACTAGGCAAAACAACTTGTTGACGTTTAATCCTTCGTTAATCCTTCGGTGTTATTTTTTTTACAAAAAGTGCAAGAAGGTTTTTAATATGGAGAAATGAGTTGTTGCTAAGGAAAAAAAGAGAACTTTTATTTGGAGTGATTTTATTTTATCTACCAAATGTATTGTTTTGCTACTAAAATGCTATAAAAAGTTATCTTTTTGCGTGATT